GACAGACGGACGGACGGACAGACCGACAGCCCCCCTCACACCCCCCCCCGTGCCCACCTTCACCGGGGGCTGCCCCCGGAGCGCCCCCAGCGCGGCGGCGGCGGCGGCTCCGAGCGCGGCCAGCGCGGCCAGGGCGGCGAGCGCCGCGAGCAGGCGGCACCGGCACCGGCACCGGCACCGGCACCGCGGCTGGGGACCGTCCCAGTTCCGCTCCAAGTCCCGGTTCTGGTCCCGCTGCTGGGGATGCTCCCGGTTCTGCTCCAAGTCCCGGTGCTGGGGACGTTGCTGGGGACCATCCCAGTTCCGCTCCAAGTCCCGGTTCTGGTCCCGGTGCTGGGGAAGGTCCCGGTTCTGGTCTCGGTGCTGGGGACCATCCCAGTTCCGCTCCAAGTCCCGGTTCTGGTGCCGGTCCCAGTCCTGGACCGGGAGAGGGTGCCGGTTCTTTTCCCGGTTCTGGTCCCAGTTCTGGTGCCGGTTCATGTCCCAGTTCTGCTCCCGGTTCTTTTCCCAGTTCTGGTCCCCGTTCATGTCCCGGTTCTGGTCCCGGTTCCGGTCCCAGTTCTGGTTCTGGTGCGGGTTCTGGTCCCAGTTCCGGTCCCGATTCTGGCCCCAGTTCTGGTCCCGGTCTCGGCTCATGTCCCGGTTCTGGTCCCAGTTCCGGTACCCGCTCTGGTCCGGGTTCACGTCCCGGTCCTGGTGCCCGTTCTGGTCCCGGTTCTTGTCCCGCTCCAGGTCCCGGTTCTTGTCCCGCTCCTGGTGCCAGTCCCGGTCCCGGTTCGGGTCCCGGTCCCGGTCCGGGCAGAGGCACCGGCAGGGCCGCGGGGCTGCCGGGGGATTCTCGGGATCGGCGAGCGGCGACATCGCGGCGACATCGGCGACAGAGCGGAGCGGGAGCGCTTTTAACGGGACAGGAACGGGGAGGGGACACGGGGACAGCGGGAGGGGACACGGGGACACGGGGAGGGTACGCGGTGACATCAGGGAAGGGACATTGGGAGGGGACTGGAACACCGGGGAGGGGACACGGGGACATCACGGAGGGGACAGCGGGGAGGGGACA